GGTTTGTCTCTAAAATAAGTGACAACTGAATAATAAGAACAGCTGTGATAAACTTATAAAAGATATGTTTTATTTGCGTCATACCAAGAGATAGTGATAACTATAATTAACGAAAATACTGAAAAAAATTATTTAAAGTTAATGGCCAGGTGTTACATTTCCGGTGGCTTAATTTTTACTTTGAATATTTCTAAATAGTCTTCAGAACTACTTGAAAATGAAAATCGTATAATGGGTCAAATAAATTGCAAACAAGAAATCTAACATTTGGTTTATTTCGTTCACAAGCTTCTCTCTGAAATTTGGAGTATCCGAAAATTGAACGTCTTGTTGATATAGTCTCTGACACCAAGACATCTTTCGTCGCAGCTGTGCGTAGGTGAAGTGGGACAGGGTGATTGGGTCTACTGTATACACATTACGTCATCAACGGATACCCAAAATGAAAAGTCTCTTAAAATGACGATTCGTTAAACTTCCAAACATTATAACTATGAATACACCTGGACTGGAAGGCTTAAATGTCATGTCTAATGGCATGGCCTTGTTTTTGCAAGGTTCTCGCAGAAATAGAAGCCATGGTCATCGTCGTTACACAGCACCACGAATGTATGACATTTCTGTTAAAGGCTTAGCAGAATACTTGTCCGAAACATCTGCCTCTATTCCATCCTCTGATGGATATTTTGACAGTTGTCAGCTGGAGTAGAGCCAAAAGAGAAAGACCTTGTTAAACTGGTCTTTTGATTATACTTGGGTTTGGCAGATTAGAGGTATCTAAATAGGTTTAAAACCCTCCCACCTGTGAAGATGCGGAATGTCCCCATTTAACAGGGCTTATTATTTCTGTCTCTACACCAGTTGACATCTGTCCAAATAGCTACCAGAGGCTGGCATAGAGACAAATGTTTCGGTCTAAGCAGAACACCTGCAGCATTCACTGGGCAAGCACTATATCTGCACTAAATTTGTTTCTCCACATCTAATAAAATTCAAACAATGATAGTTTTTTTTTTTGACGCCGGTACTGATTTTTCTCCCGAAAACATTGCTATACCTAGGATCTCCTACTCCAACACGAAGTCAATTACGTCTAAATTATTCAAATATAGGCCGGCTTTATATGCCAAAGAATAGGCTAAACATGAAGGAGAAAAGGTCGATGTCTTGTCAGAATGGCTACAAGCTGTCAAGAGCAATTAAAACGTAGCCTCTGAGCCAGTAGTACTTTTAATTCTACGTCCATTTGCAGCGATACCAGTGTGGCTGAAAATCTCAAACTACTCCACGACAAATATGTTATTGTCCCAACAGATAATGCCTCTAACACCATTGTATTTATATGTAAGGCTTACTATTACAGTTGTCTTATTTCAGAACTCGGTATTGGAACGTCTCGTTGTAATCCTGCTTACAAGCATACTGCACTTAGAAAGGGTGAAATCCTCTCCAACCACAGGTCAATCCTAGCTTCATTCAGAATTCCTTCTAAGAAAGCAGATTTTGAACTGCCTGTATTATACTGGATTCCCAAATTACAGAAAAACCATTACAAGCAACGTTTCATAGCGGGGTCTTCCAAATTTTCAACTAAACAAGTATCAAATTAATGAACTTCTATTTTAACAACTATAAGGGATTGCCCTCCAAAATTTTGTGGCACTGTATAAATCAAATGTGGATCTTGAAAATTATTAATATCAATATACAGAAGAGGATGTCATCAAAATGTTTAATTTTTTGATAGATAACACATTTGTGGAATTTGGCGGAGAGATATTTCAGCAAGTAATCGGTATTCCTATGCGCACTAACTGTGCTCCTTTACTTGGTGATTTATTTCTTTTCTCTTACGAGGCCGATGTTATTCAAAGCCTCCGACGCAAGAGCTGTTAACAATTAGCCTGTTCCTTCAATTCCACATTCCGTTACATAAATGACGTTTTATCACTGAATAGCTTTTGGACATTATGAAGATAAATTTTCCCAGGAGAGTTGGGTATTAAGGACACCAATGATTCTAAGACTAAAGCGTCCTACTTGGATTTGCTTCTTGAAATTGTCAACAACTACGATCTTTGTGTCAGACTATTATGACAAACGTGACGACTTTGATTTTCCCAAAGAAAATTTTTCATTTATGACCAATAACATACGACACTCATCTGCTTATGCAATTTACATTTCATAGCCCATCCGCTATGCTAGGGATTGTTCTCTTTATGAAGATTTCCTAGCTAGAGGTCGAGTATTAACTTTGAAATTGCTGGAACAAGGTTACTTCACACACGTCATGTAGGAAATTTTATGGTCGTTATAAGAACTCCTTTATAAATAGAATTAAGGTGAGCAGTGACGGTAGGGAAGCTAAATGAATTCATTTATGCCTACTGGTGTCATAGTTTTGAGCTCGTGGATCCAATGTAGTTCTGCGTCTTTCTTTGGTGGTCTATTCTAGATCAGGGTCATGGCTTATGGTTCTGATTAGATGGACAAAGAAAGGATCTGGGCCATGGTCGGGTTTATTGAAGTGTTTACTTACTGGTGTGAGTCTGTTCAGCCGAATGTCGGTAAGATGTTCCTTCAGTCTTATGTAAATGGGGCGTTTTGATTCTCCGACATATTGCAGTCTGCAGAATTTGCAGGTGAGCAGATAGAAAATATTGCGGGTGTTGCAATCACAGGCTGATACACAGTTGTATCTTTTTCCAGTCGAGGTGCTGCGTATCTGGTTTTTTGATATCCAAAGGCACATATCACAATGTTTGTTCGTGCACACAGGCTGTGTCCACTAGACCGTTAGTCCCGAGATGCCGGGTCTGAAGGGATATGTGATGGTAGAACTAGTGACTAGGTCCTTAAGGGTAGGGTTACGTCTGTAGCCGAGGTGGGTCGGGAGGATAGTTCTACAACTGGCGGATGCAGATAGGGGCCAGTTAGAGATTAAAATGTGGATTAATTTGAGGGCACATGGGTTGAAATTGGTGACAAAAACATAACGTTATGTGGAGGGAGGAGAGAGGGTGTTGGAGGCAGGCGGTGGTTTTAACAAGTATTTTCAGCTTTTGGAGTCAGCCCTGTCTTTATTAGCTTTAATAATGTTGGCAAGGTATCCTCTGAGGGTATAATATCAGTTAGGTCCTGGGCATGATTTTGGTAATCTGTCTCGTGGGTGCATATTCTGCGTATGCGTAGGAACTTACTGAAGGGTCCGTTCTTCTTCATATGTTTTGGGTGACAGGAGGTTTATGTGAGATAGCTATGTGTATCAGTAGGTTTACAGAATAGGTCGAATTGCAACTTGATAAGGTCTCTGTTAAGGATGACCCAATTCATGTGCAAGAACTGTGGTAAGACTTTTACTTTTTCGAAGAATAGGAAAAGGCACGAGGAGAGTGTCCATTCAACCACGAAACACCACTTCTGTCCTTGTAGAGCTGGATTCTACCGACTTGCGGATAGAATTCGGCATACTTCTTCTTGTAAGTCTTCGACTGTTCATCAAAAGTCCACCACAATCATACCGCCTCAAGACCAGACCGGCCCCGACCCTGCTGCCCACACCCCTCTTTCAACCGAACAAGGAACCGGAAACTTTTTGAGTTTCCGAAAGGCAATGTTGGGACTGACCTGACCTCGAACTGGTCTAGCCTATTTGACCAACCCACGTACGAGGACCTGTTCTAAACAGATAGCTCTGTCTGCGAGTGGCAACTCCAAAAAGCTCCAGACATCCCATGTGCCGTCCCTCGTATCCTTACCCTCCCTGTGTAGACTCAAACAGCATTACTTTGATGTACTCCGGGTTGCTAAAGACTACCAACCCCCTAAAAACACAATTTGTGTCCTCTATATCTATCAGCTACACCACTAGGGTCACATGCCAACCGGTTCGACCATCCTGCTTGCCCCCTTATCCCCCCCCCCCCTCCACTAGCCGAATCCTCCAGTTAGGGATTAAAAAGTCGACTCCGCATCTGACTCAACTCGCCTCCGCACTTGAACGGAGTTGCCTCCGCATTTAACCTGGTACGCCTCCGCAAATGACCCGAGACGCCTCCGCATTTGACCAGAGACGCCTCCTCATTTAGTCAGTTCGCTTCCGCCACTGACCCAAAACGCCTCCGCATTTCAGCAGAGACGCCTCCGCATTTATAGCTATATACATAGAGGTGAAGTTTTCACTTTTGCCTCGTTGCCCCTGAAGAGTTCCAACCAGAACGAAACCGGACGGGCCACATACCTAAGAAAGGGTATTTTCAGGAAGTCATTTCTTCCTTAAAATAATTCTGCTTTATAAATACGATCAATCTGTTTCTGACATTTTGGTTGATTTGTTTGGTCAGGCCTGAATTGATTTGGTGTATTTCATGATTTTTACCATCGTGGTAGTGGCGTTTGTCGCGCGCAAAGCAGGCCATGCTTACTCTTTTCAAAATATCTGATGGTACTACCGTTTGGAGGAGTCCACTACCACACATCTTTTACTCTCGAATTTGCCATACTGAGATTTTGAATTATCTAGTTTGTACGCATTTTTTATTTCAACATTATTACTGATTAGTTTAGCTGAGCAATTCATTATTCAGTATTATTCATTCTCGGAAATGCCGCATTTGTCCCTTTATAAATCGAAGCAAAGAACCTTCAAGCCCATTAAATGACCATAAGGTTTAGATTTCGGGGTAGGGAGGGATTTATTCTCCAAAATAGGTTAGATAGAACAAGTTATATACTAATGGGCTTTATGAACAAGGCTGTCATTTAAGTTCTTGTATGTAATAATCATCGTTTGCTTATAGACAAGGGGAATTTCTCTTGCAGGCTCTCATAATGGACATACACTATCTTACTTGCTCAATTGCTAGACGACAAAGGGTGCTATGCAACTATGCACATATTTATTAGTAATTTGATTTCAAAGTATTTATTGGCAATTTGATTTACAAAGTTTTCATTGGTTATTTGATTTATAATGTATTCATTGGCAATTTGATGCGTTCATTGCTAATTTGATTTACAAAGTATTCATTGGTAATTTGATATACAAAGTATTCATTGGCAATTTGATATACAAAGTATTCATTGGCAATTTGATTTACAAAGTATTCATTGGTAATTTGATATACAAAGTATTCATTGCTAATTTGATTTACAAAGTATTCATTGGTAATTTGATATACAAAGTATTAATTGCTAATTTGATTTACAAAGTATTCATTGGTAATTTGATATACAAAGTATTCATTGCTAATTTGATTTACAAAGTATTCATTGCTAATTTGATATACAAAGTATTCATTGGTAATTTGATATACAAAGTATTCATTGGCAATTTGATGCGTTCATTGGTAATTTGATATACAAAGTATTCATTGGTAATTTGATATACAAAGTATTCATTGCTAATTTGATTTACAAAGTATTCATTGGTAATTTGATATACAAAGTATTCATTGCTAATTTGATTTACAAAGTATTCATTGGTAATTTGATATACAAAGTATTCATTGCTAATTTGATTTACAAAGTATTCATTGGTAATTTGATATACAAAGTATTCATTGGTAATTTGATATACAAAGTATTCATTGGTAATTTGATATACAAAGTATTCATTGCTAATTTGATTTACAAAGTATTCATTGGTAATTTGATATACAAAGTATTCATTGGTAATTTGATATACAAAGTATTCATTGGCAATTTGATTTAATAATAATAATAATAATAAGAAATCTTTATTATCCCAAAGGGGGCAAATCATTTTACAACAAGAGAGATCTCTGATACAAAAAATAAATAAATAGGAACCACAAACAAATGAAACACAAACATAAATACAAACAGTACAAAGAACATATATATATTGTTTATTGGAAAAAAATGAAGTTTTCATCAGACCTGCCTTAAGAATTGAACTTTCGAAAAAGGGGATAAAAGAATAAAGGGCTCTGTTGCTTTTTGCAGAAAGGGCTAGAAATCTTTGACCAGAGGGTAGTGGGATGTAATTATCAGATAGAACATGTGTATAGTCATGGATAAGTTTCTCAGTTTTCTTAATAAACTGGCTTTCAAATATTACGTTTAATGATTGTGATCTAGTTAATTTGCTGCATATGTTAACAATTTTAGAAAGCTTGTTTTTATTTACAGTTGACAGATTACCGTACCAACATAGTATGTTGAAGGTCAGCACACTTTGTATAAAGGATGAATAGAATAGATGCATAATTGACTTATCGATCTGAAATTTAGGCGCCTTAAAAAATATATACGTTTGCGACACTTTTTGTAAATGAAATTTGCAGTATTTGCAGTCCACGTTAGTTTTGAGTCCAGTATTGTTCCGAAGTATTTGTACTGATCGACAATCTCAATTTCACAGTTATTAATAACAATCGGTTGGAGGGCAGGCTTCTGTTTCCTGAAATCAATTATCAATTCTTTTGTTTTGTTTGTGTTAAGATGCAAGAAGTTATTGTTACAATATTGTGAAAAGTTTTCGATATCAACTCATATAGATTGTCCGATTCACCATCGCTGAGCTTGCCAACGAGAGACGTATTGTCTGCAAATTTGATCAAGAGACAATTGTTCGCTTGGCTTCTGCAAGTATTTGTATATGAAATGAATAAGATGGGCGAGAGAACACAACCTTGTGGAGCCCCCGTTGAGGATATACTCGATTCAGACTTGGAATGGTTTACTGTTACAAATTGGGAACGATTTACCAGAAAGGATTCAATCCATTTAATCAGATGTATATTAACATTTAGATGAGCAAGTTTATTCATGAGAAGATGTGACTGTATTGTGTTGAAAGTATTGTATTGTGTACAAAGTATCTGTTGCTTTTTTGATTTACAAAGTATTCATTAGTAATTTGATTTACAAAGTATCCGTTGGTTATTTGATTTACAAGGTATTCATTAGTAATTTGATTTACAATGCTCCATTGGAAATTTGATTTACAAACATTCATTGGTAATTTGATTTACAAAGTATTCATTGGTAATTTGATTTACAAAGTATCCGTTGGTTATTTGATTTACAAAGTATTCATTAGTAATTTGATTTACAATGCTTCATTGGAAATTTGATTTACAAACATTCATTGGTAATTTGATTTACAAAGTATTCATTGGTAATTTGATTTACAAAGCAATTATTGGCAATTTGATTTACAAAGTATACATTGGTAGTTTGATTTACAAAGTATTCATTTGTAATTTGATATACAAAGTTAGATAAAAATGTAATTTACCAAATTTCTTGTAAAAAAAAAATGATGTTGGTGAAACCCAAAATGCGTTGCTCGTTTTAGCGCCACCGTTCTGATATACTCCATAAGAAAGATAGACCAATTGCGAAACCATTTAAACCTACCCAATAATTCCATGGAAGATATGCATGTCATGCCAATTGTAAAAATTCCCTTATTACCTACCGTTAAACCCAAAACTTCGTTAAAATCCAATAACAAGTGGTTGCCTAACAAGATACGCCCACATTCCTGATACATTTTCAGCATATCAATGGAGGTCACCAATCTATGTCAAATCATACCAAAAATCTAATTTGTGCAAGATATTGTTGATTTAATCAAACACGCAAAATTTAATAAAATTCGGACATAAACTGTCGCATTTATCGCATTAACAAGCCAATAAATTTTGATGCCTTTATACATTGCAAGGGCAATAACTCAAATTCCGTTGATCCAAAAATTTAATCTTGATCTTATCATTATAATTAATTACACCAAATTTCATTTAATTCGAAAACTGTAGTCTCTATTGTGCTCACAAACAAATTTTGACGCGTTTTTCATAAGTCATGGACAATAACTCAAAAACCGTTCATCAAAAGATCGTCAAATTCGAACTTGTCCAAGAACTCATTACTATAAATGATCACAACATATTTCATTAAAATCAGATAAAAACTGTTGTCTCTATTGCGTTCATAAGCCAATTGTGGACAAACGGGGCGGACCGACAGACAATATACAACCACATCATAATATGAACGTATAAAAACTGTTGTATTTATTGTGTTCACAAACAAATTTTGACGCATTTTTCGTGAGTTATAACTCAAATACTGTTCATCATAAAAATCGTCAAATTCGAATTCTACCAAATTCTTAACAACAAAAATGATCACACAAGGTGTCATTGTAGTCTCTACATTGTGCACAAATAAATTTTGACGGATTTTTCCTAAATCAAGGACAACTCAAAAAAATGTTCATCAGAACAAATTAGACCAATATAAAAATGATCACACCAAGTTTTATTAAAATCAGATATAGTATTGTGTTCACAAGAAAATTAATGTTGACCGCCCAACGGGCCACCGGACAAGGGCGACGGCAATATTTCCATTTAAGAACCATCTATCATATTCCAGTTTATTGTAAGTAAAAATAACAACAATGAAATGTAGTTCATCAATTAGCTTGTTATTGTAACAGTAAATAATAGGGGATGTTGACAGTTTGGATTTTAGATTCAATCAATGGGCTTAATATACTGCTGATATTCCATTATCTTCATATCCGACTTTCAACTTGGAGAAACTCTATCTAACTATGACTTTACCAGGTGATGCTAATTTCCTACAGCTAATCAGGTCTCGGTAACATCAAAGAGTTTGTACAACAGGTGAAATGAACGTTCCGGCGTCACTAACCACGTGTATTTTGTTAAGTTAAATAGTTACATTTCGTTCTAGGCGCAGTAGGCTAATTATTTTAATTACTTTCAAATCATATTTATTGATTGTAGTGTTAAGAGTGAAGAAGTTCCTAAAAACTTCTATGTAAAGCACTGGCCAAGGTCACAAATAAAGAGATAAATGTTCAATACAAGATAAGGTGAAGTTAGCATAGTTAGTATTAAGTTAAAAAAAAACATCCACGAGTAATCTACAATAAACACAAGTCTATAATATGAAAGTTTTCTTGTTACCAGTTCTAAAAGAAAAGAGTATGAATAGGTTCTGAAAAGATAAACATCTATATATAAGGATTAGAATATATTATACTTAATGAGCTAGAAAATAGAGAGGGCGGTCAAGTATTATTGGATTCAATGGGATCGAGTCTACCACGGACCAGAAAATTATTAAGGTTTTTATTGCGCTTATAGGCAATTACAAGTCGTTTGGTATATACATTCCGAAATCTGTTCTGTAATTCACTGTAATATTGTTTGACGATGGATGAGGTTTTGGCAGCTGTATGATTAAAGGTGGCAACAAATGGAATCATTTGATTATCATGCTGGATGTTAAGTCCATTTGGAGTTTGGAGTTGGTCCATCCAGTAGCTCTCTCTCTGTAATCGTTTGGTTTTTGGTTTGATAAGATCAGAGTCAGGAATTGATTCAATAGGCATGATAAATAGGTCTTCAATGGAATGGTCTGGTAAATTAAAATGATGAGAAATTGGTCTATTTTTGCTATGAATTATATCAAAGCGATGGTTCGCAACGCGTTCTGGGTTTCGCCGACGTATTGTTTGTCACATTTTTTACACGAAATTAGGTAAATGATATTTTTATCCGTACACGTGAGACGTTCTTTAATTTCAAATATTTTTCCGTTTTTTTTATTTTGAAAATAATGAGGCATATGGATATGTTCACAGGTGCGACACCGAGAACCTCTACATGGTATTGCGCCAAAGTTATTTATTGGAGGAGGGGGTTCATTAATTTTCAAAAGGTCCAAAACAGTGTCATTTTTAATTTTGCGCAAGAATCGTTTGGAATAGCCCCTCTCTCTTAATTTACTGAAAACTAGTCTATCCGTTGGTTTAAAAATACTTTGATGTCTAATTTGTTTGTTTGAGAGAAACTTGGTCCTTTGAATACCGTAGTATCCAAAAAATCCATACTTTGTTCAGAAATATTCGCAGTTAGTTTTACAGAAGGGTGGTGATTATTTAAAATTTCAAAATATTGCCAAAAATTTGTTAAAGACTCGGTCCAAATAATAAAAATATCGTCAAGAAACCTTCCATAGAAGAAAGGTTCAAAAGACATAATTAGACATAATTCCAAAAGTTCTAATATTTCTTTGTCGGGTCTATCTATGCAGGGATTTCGAAGAAAGGCCTTTCGGACAGCGTCTAAACCGGGTTTTATTATCAATATTGGTATACATACATCTAATGAGATAAATCTTGCGTTTGGAGGAACAGTCAAGCTTTTAATTTTTTCAACAAAATCGGTGGTATCCTTAAGATATGACGAATGCTTACACGCTAATGGAAGTAAAAAATGGTCAATGTATTCAGAAACTCGGTAGGATTCGCTCGCGCAATCTGAGATAATAGGCCTGCCTTTAGGAATCCTATTGCCAATTGTCAGTTGTAGTCTACAAGTAACTTCTTGTATGTATGCTATTACTAAATAGATCTTGTTTAAATGCCTTCTGGTAAATATTTCCGTAATCTGACAAACGCATATCATGCTCCAGCTTCAAAATAATCAGACTTGTGATACGATTAGTTCTGCTTACTGACAAACGTTTTTCAATTTGAGTAAAATCGTATTTTTTTTCATAAATGTCAATAGAATAATTCTAGTTTTGTCAACCTATTTAATAATAATTTTTGTCAGATTTTCATTTTTTTTTTAACACCATAATATTCACATGATATATACATTTTAACATGTGCTATTGCACATTGTCACCATAACCAAG